TTATTGAATTTTGTTTACTAATGTCACTATAAATAAATAAATAAATAAATAAATAAATAAATAAATAAATAAAAATTTTTAAAAATCTCTCTATTTCTAGATATACTTCTTTTTATGTCCCTTTATTGATAGTCTTTCTGTCCTTTTCTTGATCAAATTTGTCAGAAGCTTGTGTATTTCTTTAGTCTTTTTGTAGAATAAATTTTCGTTTTGTTGATTAGCATTTGTTAATCTCTATTTTTATTAATTTCTACAGTTATTTATTAATCCCTTCCTTCTAGCTTCCTTTACATTTATTTTCTTTTATGCTTCTTTTGCTGAACATTTAATTTATTTTTTAACAATTTCTTTTATTTTCTAATAAATTTATTAAGATAGACATTTTTCTTTAAATACCTCTTTGTCCACATTCCGCTGGTTTTGCTCTGTGGCATTTTAATTGCCATTAATTTTAAAATTACTTGTAATCTGCATTTTAATTTCCTTTATAAGATGGTGCTTTAAAATTTCTAATTGCATAAAATTTTGGCTATTCTATCATGGCACATTTCTAGTTTAATTGCTTGATGGTCAATAACTATGTCCTATGTGACTTTTGTTTTACAAAATGTATAAGCTTTTTTAGGTGGCCTAATAAATAGTCAATTTTCAAAGCCCTCCATTGATACTTAAAAAGAATTTTTATTCTGTTTGATGTCCACAAACAAAATTACACTCACATACAAATGCATATAAAGGTCAAGTTTATTAATTAACTTTTGTCTACTTGATCTTCAATTTCTGGGATATTTGCCCTAAAATCTCTTCCCTATAAAAGTGGTTTAGTCAATGTGCCCCTGTATTTCCAATAATTTTTGCTTATGCATTTTAATGTCTTTTTAAAGGAACAAAAAATTAATATGTAGATAATTTTGGAGGCTTTTTAAAAATCAATACAAAAATATGTCCCTTTCAGTCCAATCTAAGTCTTTGTCTCTAGACAGTTTTTTAAAAGTCTTTTGACTACATTGATAGTTTATATGGCATAAGAAATTAGTTTCCTATCTTTCACCAAATACAAACATAAATTCTAGGTACACTGAAGACCTAAATGTAAACACAAACACTAAAAATTTCAGAAGAAAATATGAGACTATCATTACAATTTTCACATAGAGAAGGATTTCTTTTAAAAAGTGCCAGTTACAGAGGAAAAGATTGATACATTGAACCACATTATAAGTTAAAATTTGGGTATGACAAATGACATTATAAAAACAAGCAAAAGATAGCTATAGTCTGGAGGAAAGATATTTGTAACTTATATAACCAATAAAGGCTTAGTTAACCAATTGGAATTACACAACCAATGAGAATTATGAATTTAGTCTTTTTAAAATATGTACATTCTGGCTTGGAATTTTTATTTAGAGAGAAAATAAAAGTGAATGTGTGTGTTTAGTTTGTTTTATTACTATTGTCAAATTAATCGGTCAATATTTTTAGACTTTTGTAAAGTACAAACATTTCAAGTTAGATATAAGAATTTCTAAAGAACCATGTGCAAGATAATAGGGAGTCTGTGGTGGGCACTATATTAGTGGAAATAACTGAAAATTGGTACTAATAGATGATAACTGTGTCAATTACATAAAATATCCTCCGCACGGGTCTACAGGATGAATGTGAGCCTGTGAGTGCCATGCCACTACTGGTAAACACAGGCAGAACTTGTGACTAAATATTTTTTAAATGTATTTTTAACTGTAAAAATGAACACATTAGCTAGACTTTTGTTAGAAAACAGATTTGTGTCTGTGGCCAGAGTATTTCAATTCACTACCTCTAAAAAGTTAAGAAAGAGAGAGAGAGAGAGAGAGAGAGGAAGGAAGGAAGGAAGGAAGGAAGGAAGGCAGGAAGGAAGGAAGGAAGGAAGGAAGGAAGGCAGGAAGGAAGGAAGGAAGGAAGGAAGGAAGGCAGGAAGGAAGGAAGGAAGGAAGGAAGGAAATAAGGAAGGAAGGAAGGAAGGAAATCATTTCTGTGACCTAGAATAATAGAGATTACCATAATCTGTCAGAGTTTAAACATACTCAAATGCAAATTATTCAGTGTGAAACTAAATAAACATTGTTTCTCACTCAGTGGACTTTAAATTATTAATTCCATGAATTTGAGTGCATTTTTAATATAATAAAGTTCGAGACCTACTTTTCGAGGTATTGAGCCAGATTTGAAGTTCAGTCTGATCATCTGGATCAAGGCTGTCTGCACTTGTACTTACAGATGTGGAACCAGAAACAAGAGAATTGCTAGATCCTAGGAAAGAGAAAAAGTATATTTTAAAAACCTACATTTTTATGAATAGAACATTATTTATGGTTGGTAGCAGAATGTTCTCTCCTATTACCAGCACACAAAACAAACAGCTCACCTTTCCCCACAGTGAAGCGAACGCCTGTGGACTGCACAGTGCTTTCTGAAGAGAAGTTAACGGACTGTATTGCTATATTAGGTTTCACCACTGTCTTGTTACCCAAAGACAAGGAATAATCCTCCATTTGCTCAATAAGACTGCATGGAATAAAACATGATAATGTAATATTTCAGATTTGTTGTAAAATCAGAGATGTGTGTTCTCTCCCACATTCCCATGGAAAAGCATGACCACAGAACTCGTATGATCAAAACAACATAGGCACAATCACTTAAAAAACATTGATTTTCTTTATCAGAGTCTTCCTTTGTTATGTATGCTTCTTGTTCAAAGTTCTGGTAGACAGTGCCCAATGAAGGGTACCTTGTATATTGATGCCAGAAAGCTGTAACTCAAGAATGACAGATTTCTGAATAGAAATAATCTTTATTACACTGCTCTTCACATAGAAGGGTGATGTTGCCACCCAACATTGGCCAGGCTTGAGATCCTTATCTCCCCAGTAGTGAGAATCAGTTTCCACATTTCGAAGTCTCTTCTCTCACCCAAACCCCTTGGGGTCCAAAGCATCTCTTGTAAGTTGTTCTTTCCTAAGGTGACTATTCATATGGAGCTAGGGAAGAACAGAACTTTGAGCTCACTGCCTTGGCTATTAACCAAATATTGCAGATTTTCACAATATTCTTTTCTACTTTGGATTAAGTTTAAAGGTAGGTTAGATAAAAGGTGGGAGGATATGGAGGGAACTTCTCAATTTGGTGTTCTCCAAAGAAAAGTCATAAGATTTTTTTTCTTATTTCCTGTAAGAAATATTTGCACTATTTTTGTACTTGTCAAAACAAAATCTCTGTTTCTAAGATAACCAGTTCAATCTAGTTATCCAAGAAATGAAAGAATTCATTAAAATGTAATTGTTCAAAATTCTAAATCTTTATTTCTATCACTAAAGTATGATTTTCCTTTCTCGAGTAAGAAAAAAAAGACAGACAAACTTTAAAATAAAGATGCTTTGTAAAGAGGATGTGATAATCATTCATATAGAAACATTCAAGTTGGCTTGTTTCAATGATTTGCCTTTTGTAACACCATATTCTGTACTTTTCAGCTATTCACACTATGTATTTCCCACTTAATGAATAACAATCATACTCCAGAGCTGCTTTCAACAGAAGGAATACCTAACAAATACCTATTTTCTAGGCACATATCTCATGTATTCATTCAACCAGTAATATCTGTTGGACATCTAGTAAGAGGTCAGTATCTTGGGATACTAAGAGGAGCTCCCTCAGGCACTGAAAGGCTAAATGGAAAGAGGTACTAAATATATGGGGGTGTTTGCCATGTTCACAACCACTTTCAAAAAGTTGCTCTGGACACAGCCACTTCTAAGGTCATTTTTCTTCCATATGGCTCTTTTCTCCTCTTGCCATAACTGACTGGATTAAAGATAGGTGTTTGCCTCAGAGTACTCAATCTGGAGGCTGGCTATCAACTAGAAGAAGCAATCGGATCCTTTAATTCAAGAATTTTCCATTTAGTGCAGCTGTTATACCAGGAAAGTCATGGTTTAGAGGAGACCAGAGAGGTCATTGTATCATTTGTAGGAACATATACAAATTAAAAATTGAAGTTTAATTCTTCCTGTTGAAAAAAGGGAAGAAATTTCCCTCCACTCCTTTTTATGTGGAACACTTACTTTATAAAACCTGTAAGTACTTTCTCCTCTCTTTGAAATGTAAAGAAAAATCCTTTTGAAGACTCAATTGTCATTTTGTCAGTTTTGTGACCTTGTCTTTCTCAAAGACAAGGGAGCCATCTCTTTGAAGTGTATACATCAAGGGAGGTAGCTCCCATTACTCCCAGTTTCTGTGGGAGGGTAGGAGCCTAACTTCTGTGGGTGGACATCTTGCTCCAAGTTGCAAAACTATCTCCTGTAATGAAGATATGAGAAGTATGATTTTCCTCTGGATAAAGTCAATTAGTTAACACAAATGGTCACCTCACCAAGTAAACTTAGGATGTACTATGTGTGACAAATAGTGCTGTCAAGTTCTCTTGAGGACTAATTCTTGCTTATCTGAAAACATGTATGTGATGGCTTATATCTACTTGTCTATATAAAAAAGTGAGATTCCTTTCTGTCTTTGTAATCTCTTAGGGGTTTGCCTGTGCTAGTATCACATTCTGGTTTAATATCAATAATAAAAGTATTTTCTTTTTCTACTACCTTTGTGGAGAGCATTTCTGGGTTGGGAGAAGATTTTGTTTTTTTAATTCTATTTCCCCAACACCATGAACAGGGTTAAATTATGTGAGAGCAGAAACTAGAAGTAAAGATATTTACTAAGTCATGTTAATTATAAAGGCAACTGCTAAACTAATTTTTTCAATATTTAATACATATAAGTGAGGTATGATGCTAGCAATGTACATGCATCATCTTATTTGAGCTTCACAAGAATCTTACTGAAGTGAGTCCCAAAATTACTGCCACCTTACACTGAAGAATCTGAGTCTCTTCGATATGAAGTAATTTGGCCAAAATCACGTAGCTACTAAATAACGACACTAAGGTATGAACCCAAGACTGTCTGACTCCAAAGGCTGTGGTCACAACTCTTATATTAGCCTAGAAGGAGGACCAAAAAAATACTCTATCGAGACCTTCAAAGATGTGTTGGATTTTTTACCATTCCCCTACTCCAGGGTCTCTAGGATGCAGCTGTATCATGACCCTGTTCTTAGGTTCTCATGAGATTCCATATGCCTCTTTACAATAAATCTGGTTGAGATAATTTAGTGCATGTCTTATAACCAAAGGAGGCTGGCTGGAACAGAAATACAAACAGAAATGTGAAATGTAAACGTTCGAGGTGGCCAGTATTAGGAAAATAGTTTTGCGTTCCCAAAGTTAAGTAAACAAGGACAGTTATGAATTTGAATGTGACAGCAAAGTTTCAAGGTTATGGATCGATCTTCATAGCATATTTCAAAATGGAGAAATGAGGTCTTAGAGTCGTTGGTTAGAGTAAGTTGCCTTTACCAGCAGAGACCCTGCCCATGGCTCCAGGGCTCCACCAACTTCAATATTCTGACTCCTCCCAATTTAGAAAAATAGAATAGACAAATGGGCTCTAGATAACTTTACTATGACAACTTGAGATGGCTGAAGCTGAGATGGATTCTTTCTTTCCTATAACTATTTTCTTTTTTCCTCTCACACTCTTCACTTCTCCCACTACATCTAGAAGGGCATTTCAGTAATTTAAGGAAACTGAATGAAAGAAAGAAGAAGTCAAAGTGAGATGAAAGACTAAGGCCTGGTGCCTGTGAAGAGACCCTGCAACTAGGTTCAGGGGATGGAGTTTTGAAAGGAAGAGTTGCCCCAAGTAGTGATTAGTTTCCTTTCCTGGTGAGAAAGGAAAGTGAGAGATGACCTCTGTTGGCAGCTCATCAAGAATACCCTCCTAAGAGTTGGTGACCTGATGTTGGGACTGCAGGCTGAGGCAAAAGCGTCATCTAAGTAAATGAAGGAACTGAATCTACCAGGCATATGCAAAAGATCAAAAGGGAGCAGGTAAACTGATAGACCATGATTAGAAACATAAGTACACTAGAAATTTAGAATGGGAGGAAAGAGGTTGAGTGTGGTTATACTATCTCATATTTCAATGTGTTGTATATTTAAATTTTTAATTTATCCTCTAAACACCGCTTTGAAGATATTTGGATATTACACATAAGTCACACAAATTGTTCTTTTCTCCACATCTTAAGCCAATAAAATTTGTAATCATTTATTGTTAGGACAGCATTCTCATCTGCATCATGATCTGTGACATTCTCAATCGAATCTCACTTCTCTTTCCTCAGCTTTCTCACCAAAAACATCCACTCCCCTCCTTTTCCTCTCGCAAGACCACGAACACAGAGACTCTAGCTCTGAAGGGAGCCCACTCTGGCTCTCATTCTCCACATTCACTGAACATAGACTCTGAACCCTGTGTTCACTTCCTTCTCCAACTTCAAGAAAAGGGGGAGTGTCCACATTCCCAGTGAGAAGGACCAAACTCCAACTGAAACCTGAAGTCATAAAACACACCAATTAAATTGTTTACACAACTTCTACCTCCATCTCTCAGAATTATAATCTTTTAAATGCTCTATTTCTTGTTTTTGTGCTTTTCCTACTTTGAGAAGGCTCAATACGAAATAGGTAGTGGTTATAATAATTAGAAAACTGAGAATTTCTTGTAGGAAATTCTCCCAAGGAAATAATAAGTTATGCAAATAAAACTGTGTAGAAGAATGTTTAAAGACTTGAAGCAATCTAAATGTCCAGCAACAGAGAATTGCTTAAATAAAAGTTCACTCATATTACGCAGTAACCTAAATTTGTGATGTTGATGTACACGTATTTATATTAAAAAGTTGTTTCTAAAATATTATTAAGTGACAAAAACAAGTTATAAGTCAATAGATTATGTAATATGATACACATGCATACACATACAGAGAAAAAAATCTTTAAGAATATGTACCAACAGGTTAATAAAGGTAAGAATGATTTTTTAAATTTTGCTCATTCATATTTTTTAAATTTTTCTATGAGTGTGCATATTAATTTAAATTTTAAATGAGTTAGGAAAACTGTATATAAGATAAAAAACACAATAAATCCTAGTGAGGGACTCTATGAATAAAGTACTTGGGTTTTAGTATAAATATATAACCAAAAGTAATCCAGAACAAGAAGAGAGAAAACAGGTAGAGTTGGATCCCTTTTTTGTTGTTGTTCAGTGTAGCAGCCTTGGGAAAGTTAAAGCAAGCTTAATTAAAATACACCAGGTTCTTGGGAGACTTGAGGTGTTTGTGTGTGTATGTGTGTGTGTGTGTGTGTGTTTGGGGGGGCGGTTGGTGGGAAGGGGGGACTGCTACCAATGTGTCTTGCAAAGTTATGCTGTTATTTGCAGTTCTGTGAACTGAGAAAAGAGTTTGAAGAGCTCCTGCTGTGTATGCGGGTGTCCTTTGGGCATACCAACCTAGAGTTAGGAAAGCAAGTTCTAATCTAAATCATCCCAGTTACTCTCCATCCATGGCCATGCTTGGAACCAGAAGTTAACATATACCACTCTGTCCAGTAACTGAAGATTAGGTAGAGAGCCAAGATTTCCATCTGTTTTCCAGAGGAATCCATTAGTTAGTGCATCCATGAGCAAAATAAAGACATATCTGTTAAGGCTTTAACCTAGGAAAGTAAACAGCATTTTGCCAGGTTTTCTTGCCAAATTAGAATTATGCTTACGTTGCAAAGGTATTATCAGCTTTTTTTTTTTTTTGAAAAACATCTTCATTGACATCTAGAAGTTGACTCACTGTTGTTACGGCAACTAATTTTGCCTGTCAGGAAGAAGACACCAATCATCATAGAAGACATACATCATACATCATCATGACCATTGTTATCGTGAATTATAATGGTATCAATTGATACCATTGGTATGATAATCTAGAAGCAAGTATATTTCAGAATTAAAGGCTTAGTATTTTTTTAATTTAATTTTATTATTAGTTTCAAGTATACAGTACATTGGTTGGACATTTATATAGTTTATGCAATGATCCCCCTAATTACTCTATATTCCCTCTGGCTCTACACCTAGCCATTACATTACTGCTGACTGCACTCCCTATGCCATGCTCCCCAACCCCGTGACCATCTATCAACTACCAATTTGTACTTCTTCAACTCTTCACCCCTTTCTCCCAGTCCCCTACCCACCTCCCCTCCCCTCTTACCTTCACCAGATTGTCCTCTATATTTGTGAGTCTGTTTTTGATTAGTTTGTTCTTTTTGTTCCTTAGATTCCACATATAAGTGAAATCATATGGTATTTATCTTTCTATGTCTGACTTATTTCACTCAGCACAATAATCTCTAGGTCCCTAAAGGCTTAGTTTTTGATCTGCATAAGACTGCAGAGAAAATAAAGATAAGGCACTGTTAAAATATCAATTGAGGTAGTCAATTAGGCAGCCTAGGTCTCTGAATTTGACCTCATAGCAAGATCTTTCACAGAACTTCCACTCCATTCCCCGAAATAGAAAAGCAAATGAGTGGATACAAAAGCAGAAACAAAATAAAATGGGTGCAGGACTCTGATTGTCAAAACATTACAACTCACAATACTTAATATAATTTATTACACTTAGTAACTATTACACTTAGTAATTATTAGACTTAAATTATTTCTAGTTTTCTTATAATGAAAAAATCAGGAGTACATCAGGAAGGATCTTTTGGCATTTGGTTACTGTTTAACTACCCTCTCTGGGGCATTAATACCCTCTGTCTATATTGACTAATTCTTCCACTAATTTTACATTTGGGTCATTATTTTTCTCTTCAATTCCATTTTTATTAACTTGAGATTTTAATCTCATTTACTTTCCAAAAGACCTAGAGTAACATAAAATAAATTTTTGAAATAAGACATTTAAAGGGAATAGAAGAAAGGAGTAGATATTTTCAGGTCATGCTGATATTCACCTGGTAGACATAGTGGTGGTTTATACTCCTGTTTGACCAGTACTCAAGCTGTGCCAGTAGATAAATGTTAACTGTAGTTCTTATTTTCAGGTACCAGAGTTTAGTAGGTTACAATACCAGAAATGTAAACTGGACTTAAAACTTTTTGAAAACCAAAACTAAAATGCAAATACGTTTAGCAGAAAGAGATCATAGTTTAAAATAGCATGTTCCAAAGTGAGTTCCTTAGAACATTAGTTACTTGGAATTGAATAGGAATGATGAGGTCAAATGCAGTTTGTAGAACTTTCCAGATGATTTAACATAACAATCATTGTGATTATCCTGAAAGAATATTTAGACAAGGAGTGAGCCCTTTTTTATTTCTTTGAGCATCTCCCAGAAAGAATGGTCCGTAAATGGTTTTAAGCAACCTAAACCATGACCAAGTTCATATCATAGAATAAGAAATGAAGTTTGGGATGACTCTCTTTCTTTCTTCCTCTCCCCTTTTTAAAAATCTTGTGAGTTTTACCTCAGATGAAGCATTTCTGGATGAGTTGAAGATCTGTCCAACCACATTAGCAGCAGAAGTGATGTTCTCGGGAGTTAATTTCCCGACATCAGATGTTAAAATCTGGGCTTCAGCAGAAATATTTTGAGACTCAACAGAGATACTGTCTATCTGTTAAAAAAAGAAAAAGAAAAAGAAAGAGAAAAAGAAAGAAAGAAAGAAAGAAAGAAAGAAAGAAAGAAAGAAAGGAAGAAAGGAAGAAAGGAAGAAAGGAAGAAAGGAAGAAAGGAAGAAAGGAAGAAAGGAAGAAAGAAAGAAAGGAAGGAAAAAATGAAAAAAAAAGAAAGAAAGAGAAAACCTTAACTTTGTACAATCATGTCTAAACACTTTGCGCACAGCTTCAAATTAATAAGCTGGAATTTAGTTGAGCCCCAATTTCCTGAACATCACATCCACTTGGTTTCTCATGTTTGTTTCTTTCCTCGAGTAAAGGACAAAGTACACACAGGCTGGGGATTTTATCAGCCTTTACTATTTGCCAGGCTTAATTAACTCTAACAGGCTGCTTTAGCTAGATTGCTGCTATTCAAAGTGTGATCCATGGATCAATGTTGGTTCACTGTTCGTTACAGTGTCCATGGGAAGATAAGAACAGCAACTGAGAGTAAGTGGTCAGAAATTCATATAACAATTTTATGCTGTTGAATCTAGTGATTTTTAAAATAGATATGTATTTTATATATCTTTTTTCACTTTATTTTCCAAGTAATTCATTTTTGCTGTGTTTTATATAATTATTGGCCTGCCATGGGATGATAATTTTTAAAAATGGATTTTTAGCACAGATAGTTTGGGCAGCATTGACCTAGACAACATCTCCATGTATCAATTGGCCAATGGGTGCTGCTGTGTGCCTACAACATGTTATTCCATACTGTTATTAGTGGAGCTAAGTGTCAGAGTGTGTGTGTGGATGGTAGGGGCTTTAGTTTTCGCTAGATGGCAGCATCATTTCAAAATTCAAACCAACATCACAAGTTTTTCAAGCTTGGAGAAGAGTCAGAAACAATACCTAGTCAGTAGACAGAAACAACATTCTCATTCAATAGGCAGGTAACTGCCACAGGCTAGGCAATTTACTAGATGTTTTACAGGTGTTATCACATTTAATACACAAAACAACATTGTGAATTGAGTATCCTCACCCCTATTTAAAGTCTTGAAGAGGTTAAGGAGCTCATCCAAAGTTCACACAGCTTGAAAGTGGCAGAGCTGAGAGTCAAACACTGGTTTGTCAGACTCCAGAACATGAAGTTTAGTGGCTGGCACAACCTGTGTGGTTGGCAGGCACCTCCACATCTCAGTACCATCCCCACTCCCATCTCCACCCCTGCCAAGGAGCCAGTATAGTACAGTGTGGACTTTAAACTCAAGAACTTCATCACTTTTGGCTACACTTCACCAGACAACACACTGCACCTCTCAGAGCCACAGTTTCCTCATCTATAAAATGGGTACTTTAATACCTATCTACAGAGTTGTTGTAAGAATTAAATATGATGAAATAATACATGTAAAATGTTTGGCACAGTATTTGGCATGTGGTTAGTCCTCAGTAATAAGTGTTATTAGCTACAATTATCTATAGTATGGGAATAACATCTAACTCACAGAGGTTCTATAAAGACTAAATGAGATAACATATGTAATATGCCCAGCATCTAGAAGGACCACATAAAGACGTTTCCTCTTCCTCCTGTTGCTTGGCCCCAGGTCTTAGCGATTCCATGTATTTGCATTTGGGTGTATCCTTAGTCAAAATAATTTAATTTACATGAAAAAAATATCTACTCAGATGTACTTCCTGTTTCAGCTGCTTATGGATACAGCCCTGAGACTACTATCAGGTTCTGGAGTTTCTTGTATCAAAAGATCTTTGGTCATAGTTTTTTTTTTCTTTCTTTATTCTGATCCAGTAGACCATTAAAATATACCTTCTTTTTGGTCTCAAATGTCGGGGATCTATTTTCAGTCAAAATTTCACTGGTCTAAAAAGATGAGGCCTTTTATGTCCTTTTTCCACAAACATATCAACTTAAAAAAATAGCAAGAATGGCTTTTGTACTGGTTTTTGTTATTTCTAATTTGAGAGTTTTAAAAAGCATTGATGAGACATCAGATATTTTTCCCGGGTGACCATCGCATGGGCTATATGGCATACCTGCTTTTCCAGGCTTTCCAGATTTTCATTGCAACTTCCTATTGTAGCATTTTCTAAAGTTATCTCTCCATTTTCATTAAGATTGCATAGCCGGGTTGCTATTGGATTGCCTGCTTTAATTTAAAAAAAAAAGAGAGAGAGAGAGAGAGTGTTTACAAAGATAGTCACGGCAATTGCCTGCTCCTGTATATATGCCCCTTCACAGCATGATTTTGCTGCTCTTTTTTCAAAAAGTGGCATCTGTTTCCTTAATCTCGGCTGCCCTGATAACATGCTTTGACCAAGAGAATATGGTAGAAATAACGTGTGAGTTCCAGAACCTAGGCCTCAAGGAGACTTGCTATTTTGGCCTTTGCCTTCTTGGAATGCTGTCCTAAGACTGTCATATAAGGAAGCAGGTCTAATATACTGTGGGATGAGAGACCATATAGAGGAGAACTGGGGAGTGCCAGCCAACAGCCAGCACCAATACCCCATGTGAGTGAAGTCATCTTGGGCCTTCCAGTATAGTCCAATTGCCACAGTCAACATAAAAAAACTGAAAAATCTAAATCATCATTATTTTAAGCCCCTAAGTTTGGGGTGGCTTGATACATAGCAGTGGAAAAGTAAATCAGACATTTACTACAAGAATATTTTAGGCAGATGCCACTCGTTGTCTTGATTTTTAAATCTAGACTTTAAAAGACCAGTTGACTATTTCCTTCCTTTGAAGTCTGCAAAGAAGATTTGCCTTACAACAAAAAGGGCCAGGGCTTTGAATTGGATGTAATGAGGGAATACTAGCCTAAGGGAACAGAAAAAATATGAAAATTCCTTCTAGATATTGAATTATAAGTTGATCTTTCTTTAGCCAAACCTGGCTAACATCTGAAAGGCAGCATTCTATTATATTGCAGCACCTATTTGATATTTGGCTCTAAATAAATAATTATTAGATCATTAGGTTTATTTCCTAGGATTATTATCTAAGTTTCCCTTCCTCAGTGTCCTTTTGTGGCTAATAAGTAAGAGGCTGCTAGTAGATAAAGTCATCCCCAGCTATCATAAGAAGGATAACTGATCAGAAGATCAAACTTGCCTCAGGATCAATTTTGGGTAGCTGCTTCTTGAGGAATAACTAGGAAATCTGAAATTAGAGCCCACTTCTACAACACTTAAAGCAGAAGTTTAAAGTCACTCATATACAATGGCTTCATCTCAACACTCTGACATAATAAAAATTTTAAATACATATATAGGATTTTATTTTTAAGCAGCCATATTTCAAATGTATCTCTTGTCCTCTATATCTACCTATTCGAAATCATTGAAAAGTATTTTGATCATTTGCTATATAAAATCAAATAACTAGAAGTAATTCTCAATATAAAACTAAAAGCAAATTTGCCAATAGTTGGAATCTATAGTTTTAAAATTATCGATGGACTCAATCTGAAATTCAAACATGTTTATAATAGTTGCTTGGAAAAGAAAATAAATAACCAATTGAAAGACAGTTATTCTTTTGCCCCAAAAATGTAATATATATCAAGCAAGTATGATATCTCTTGACATTTTTACTCTTCCTAATTCACTAGCAAACAGTTGTTTGTTTGTTTGTTTGTTTGTTTGTTATAGCATATATGTTTTATAAATTATTATGAAATACTTAAGATGTACAAAATATATAATAGTTAAGATAATAGGTATCCATGGACATACCATACAGTATAAGAAGTCAGTACTAACACAATTGAAACTTCCCTTTTACCTTCTGAGCTTTTAATCAAGAGGCTATAAGTATCTATGTAAAGAATGGTATAATAAATACTTGAGTAAGAATGATATATGCGGGCAGAGGCAATTTGGATTTTGAAAATGGAATGCTTGATCTACATAATTTCTTAGACTAAATAAAGTAAAAAAGCACATAGGAAAGAGAAGTACATGTAATTTAGGTAGTGTTTCAAAGAGCCCTTGACATACTCAAAAATAAATATCTAAATAAAATATTAAATTATCCCCAGGGTCATTACTAAAAGAAGTTCTATCAAACATTTTCATAAATGATCTAGAATTGGCTGTTTTTGAGGGATTTAGTTCCACAGGAAATGGATGATAACCTGGAGGAAGATGTGAGAGGTAGGGGGATTGGTCAGATGAAAGTCAATTAAAACAAAGGACAGGTAGAACATTTAGGAAAAATAATATAACAATGGGCTCTAAGCTATCAAGAAAGAGATCTATGAATTTCAAAAGACTACTCTCAGAACATCTTACCTAATGTGCCATTGAAATCAAATAAGTCATCAAAATCCTGAATATCATCGGAGAGCATATTAGAAATAGAAAATATTATTTGCGCCTTTATTCTTGGAATGTCTCTATGCAAGCAAGGTTGTCACACTTCAAGAAAGTTTTGATTAAGTTAGAGAATATTCCAAGATGGATAACTAAAATGAATAAGGAGATGAAGGACTCTTAACTGCGGACAGACTTAACTGTGCATCTCCACATAAAAATATAAAGTCTGAAAATAGATATGGTGTAAATAGATATAGTTTAGCTAATTATTTAAGTTGAGGCAAATTATATAACTTAAAGAGAGGATATTAACCTGATCAAACTCCAGGAGATTGAGTAAGATGGAAAAACAAGTCAATTGAAGTATTAAAAGGAATTTACAACTTATCCATATTACGGTTTTCAGGAAAATTAGAATTATGTGAAGAAGCACCCTCAAGTTTGAACATTGGTATCATGAAAGGGACCCAAACTCCTCCACAAAAACTGCCTTGATGCCTCTTCCCAGGACCTAATACTAGTTGGAGGGTTGATAGCTATAACCCAGCATAGTGATCTGTATACCTAAACAGAGGAGATGTTTGGAAAAGCACATACCATTCAGAGTGTTCTTGTCACACTTTTCCAAGGAAGATCCATATCTTCCCACTGGAATTCTGAGAAAAGTAAAACCTCGATCGGTACTGTTTTTACAGAAATTAGCTATAATAAAAAGAAAAAAATATTTAAATTATAAATTATACCTTTCTTTTTCAAATTTCAGACCAGATAAATGTCAAAGTTCAAAACATATCCAGTATAATTTGAAGGGCAATAGAAGGCTTATGTGACACACTAACCCACCAAGAACTTCACATTTTCTTGTCTTGTTAAGTTACTACCATTAAAATAACTAATATGTTAAGTAACAAGTTCCAGTTACTTAATGTGCACAATGATTAACTTGGTAAAGGTGAGATGTGATTACTAACACATCGGCAAGGATAGTGTGACAGATTTGGTGAAATCTTGAAAATGAAAGATATAGAGCATACAGGGTAAAAAGGCATCATAAGGATGTGGGTTAAAGCAAAAGGTCTAAAGTTATGGGTATGTAGGATATGCTGGCTGGTAGGAGGGTAGGAAATGATGAGAATGTGCTTCTGTGGCTCTGGGTCCTAAGCAGACAGCATGAAGGGTGCAGAGTGTTGAAAAGCACACCACAGATCAAAAAATGGCTTTGAACTTTGATTCTGAGATATCATTGATTGAAAGCAAACCAGTAAATTAATAACACCTCTTCAAAAGAAAGGAAGAAAAGACAAAAACTTCACCTAAGTATATACTTGGATGGGAAGGTGCATCTAGACTTGAGAAAAGTTAGAATCGTGATATTTGAAATGGCATATATTTCCATTGGTAATATGGCATATCACCAATTGAAAATAGCTGGGAAAACATATCACCCATTACCCTGTATTAAACATTGCATCCAGAAGGAAAAGCAATGATGAATTTACAGAGAAACTTGATAGTTGGGAAACAGACAAGGTGTATTGAACATACAGGTAAACAGCCCAAGAAGAAAACTTAGCTTTTACTATTGAGCTAATAAATACATCTTAAAGCCATCATCATTATGCCCATGTTACTATAATCATTAACAAAAGTTTCAAGAAGCTTTGCTGCTCTCCTTAATGCAAGAGTTGCCTGCACCTCACACCATAGTATTATCCCAAGAAACTTACCCATTGTACATCTCAGTCCTTTCCATTCTTCTGTACAAATGCATCTGCCATTTTCCCAGGTTCCACCATTTCTGCAGAACGCTATAGGAATGCTTGATGAGGGAGCATATGTTCCTAAAGAAACAATAAATAACAGAATAGTATACAAACTGTCTAATTAGTTTCTCCTTTTGAGTCTGTGGCCTTTAATGTCCATGTGTAAAATCATTACTTTAAGTACCATTGCTGTGAGATGTTCTTTGTAATATCATCAACAAAAGTATACACAAAAATCTATACAGAGTATACAATGCTAACTAGATGTTATAAATACTAAAAAATATATACATCTTTGAAAGACACAACACTTTGGCCAAGGAGATTAGAATCTAGTGAGAGAAACAGGAGATTCTATAGATGATAGATGGATAGATTGATAGATAGATGATGATGATGATGATGATAGATAGATAGATAGATAGATAGATAGATAGATAGATAGATAGATAGATAGATCAGACAGACCAATCGGCCAATCAAGTCAACTTGCAAGTTTGTAAGTGCAACTTGCAAGTTTGTAAGTAGGAATATAGAAGAGAGATGTTGAGAACAGAGGTAACCTACCCAGGGAAGACTTTTCAAAAGAGGAGGTATTTGAATCGAATTTTAAAATTAAATCTAAAAAAGCCAAATGCAAATGAATGGCTCAAGTAGACAGGATACAAAGTACAAAATTACAGAAACATGGAAAGTTCTGATATGTCCAAGGAACAGAGAAAAAGCTTCACATATCAGGAGCACAGTTTCTATGAAGAGCAATAGCAAGACATAGATTGAATTGTGAGTGGTTTTATAGACTAAGCCAACAATATTTAATCCTGCAGAAGCCTAGAGAAGTCTTGAAACAAGTGAGCAACATAATAAGAAATGTTTTTTAGGAAGGTACCTCAAGCAATATGAGAAGTGACTGAAACTAGGAAGCAAGTAAAACCAGTTAAATGAGGACCTAATCTAAAGCAGTAGCTCTAAGGAACTCAGGTGTCAACAGATTCAGGAAGCATAGCTGAGATAGGATTATTAGGAACCAGTGACTGGTTATTTTGCACTGGGGACACTGGGATCTTTAAATTTGAAGACAAGGTAGATATTAAACAAATTAACTAAGCTTAGAATATAGGAAGAGTTTCATTTCTAATAATTATGGAATAGATTGTACCATATTAAACCTCCCACAGATAATTTTAAACTCTGGATGAAAGTAAAACAAACAAACAAACTATTAGAGGACATTGGACAGCAATGAAAAGCAGACAGAGACTGACAGCTATTCCGAGTTTAGACAATCTTTCCACTAAGGGCACTACCCAGTCAATATAGCAGGAGTGGCTGAAACTCCAGCAGAAAACCACAGACTTAATGGGTTAAGATGTGAAAGAAACCTGTCTGGGGCTACCACAGCAACCAGAAACTGAAGGGAGATATTACAGAATGGAGAGAGTCATATAGAAGAATGGCTCAAAGTGCATGTGCGTGAATTCCCCTGAAATCTAGAGAGCAAAAAAAGTTTAAAAAATTAAAGAGAGTTTCACAGACATGTGGAACAATTTCAAGCAGTCTAACATATATGCAATTGGAGCCCCAGAGGGGAGAAGAGATGGAATAGGGTAGATAAAATATCTAAAGAAATAATGGTCAAAATTTTTCAAATTTGGTTAAGAACTTTAACCTATAGATCTAAGAAGCTCAGTAAAGCATAAGTGAAATAAATAGAAGGACAACCACACTTAGATATATTGTGGTCAAACTGCTGAATTTTCAAGGAGAAAATCTTGAAATCAACCAACTACTGACCCAGGCAATTTTACTAGTGAATTAGAAAAGAATAATATCAACCTTATATAAATTCCTTCAGAAAATAAAGAAAAAGGAAAACTTCCCAAATCATCTCATAATCCTAAGATAACCCTGATGCCAAAATATGACAAAGACATAACAAGAAAATTCAATACCAATAAACCACATTTATACAGATGCAAAAATCCATTAAAAATAGTAGCAAATCAATCCAGCAATATATAAAACTGATAATGCATCATAATCAAGTGAGGTTTATCCCAGAAGTGCAAGTTTGGTTTAACAATAGAAAATTAATTCAATTCACCATACGACAGAATAAAGGGGGAAACCATATGATCATTTCGATAAATGCAGGGAGCAAAAAGCATCTGGCATTTTTTTAACTCTCAGCAAACAAGAAATAAAAAAAAAATTCTTCACACTAATAAGATTCATCTGCATAAAACCTTCCAATATCATACTTAATCGTATAATAGTGAATACTTTCCCCCCTAAGATTGACAGAAAAAAGTTTAATTGCTTTAACCACTTTTATTCAATAATTGTATGAAAGGTACTATCCAGTGCTGTAGGAAAGAAAAAGAAATTTCAAAAAACATAAAACTAAGAAAGGATAAAATAGATTTATCTTCTGTTGCAGATGACATCATCAAATATGTTAAAAATCCTAAGATGTCTTGAAAAGAGCTACTTGAATTGATAAGTGAATTTAGCAAAGTTGCTAAGTTACAAAATATACACAAAAAATCAATTATTTCCTTATGTTATCAACAAATAATTAGAAAATAAAATTACAAACTCATTTCCATTTAATTATAGTAAAATTCATAAAATTATTGAAAATAAATATAACAAAATATGTGCAATACCTCACGAGAGAAATTTTTAAAGATCTAAATAAATGGAGTTATATACCATGTATGTATGGAAGACTCAAAGTTGTTAAGGTGTCTATTTTCTCCAAATTGATATAGCTAAAAATCCAAAAACAAAAGACCTTTTTCTGTAGAAATTTGTAAACTTATTTATAAATCTTATGACAATATAAAAGACCTAGATAAGCCAAGACAAATTTTTAAAAGAATAACAAAGTTGAATGACACACATTACTAGTTTTATGACTTACTGTGTAGCCATAGCAATCAAGACAGTATGACATCAGCACGAAGACAAACATATCGATGAAATAGATAAAACATACCTAGTCAATTGATATAAAAAAAATATGCCAAGACAATTGAATTGGAAAAGGAAAAAATTTTCATCAAATGGTGCTGGACTAACTGGGTAAATATACCACACTCAAAACTCAATTTGATTTAACAGATAACAGTTTGTTTAAAATAATAATAGCAGCAATATATCAGGTGATTATAGCTTATGGATAAATAAAATGAATGACAAAAATGTTATAAGGGAAGAGGAGGATTAGGGAATACTCTGTTATAGGGTATTGGCATCACCCATGGGACTATATATTGTTATTAGAAAGTGAATTTAGGTTCATTGTAAATATATACTGCAAACTCTAGGGCAACCACTAAAATGTTTTTTGTTTGTTTAAGTACAAATGATTTCTAAGAGAGAAGAAAAAGTAAAATCATATAAAATGCTCAGTTAAAATCAGAGAAGGCAGAAAAAGATAATGGCAGTGGAAGAAACAAAGAACAAAAAAAAAGTTGCGAATATAATAGATATTAATCTGATATACCAATAATCACTTTAAACAGCATGGTCTAAAATCACCAATTATAAGACAAAGACAATAAGAGTAAATAAAAAACAAGGTGCAACTGTATGTTGTCTATAAAAAACTCATTTTAAATAAAACACAGATTAAAAGTGAGGTGATAGAGGAAAATATACCATGCTAATGCTAATCAAGGGAAAGGTGAAGAAGCTATATTAATTTCAGACAAAGTAGACTTCAGAGCAAGAAAAATTATCACGGATAAAAAAGGACATTATATAATGATAAAGGGGCTAATCCTTCAAGAACTACCAATCTGTCCCTACCAATACAGTCTCAAAATAAGAGAGACAAAATCAACAGAACTGCAAAAAATATACATATATATTTTTGTATATATATACAAATCTGCTACTATTGTTGAAGACTCAACACCCTTCTGTTGGTAATTGACAGATCCAGCAATCAGAAAGAATCAATTAGATCAGACATTTATAGTATTCTTCATTCAATGATGTAAGAATACATATTATTCTTAAGCACACATGAGTATTCACCAAGATAAACTACATTCTGGCCCATAAAATATTCCTTAACAAATTTATAATAAATTTTTTAAAATTTAAATAAATAAATAAATAAATTGTTAAAAGGATAGAAATCATACAATATAGTCTCTCAAACCAAAATTGAATTAAATTAGAAATCAATAACAGAAAGATAGCTGGAAAATTCTCCAAATATTTGGAGATACTTCTAAACAGCTTGTAGATTAAAGAAGTCTCAGGAGAAATTTTAAGATATTTTGAACTAAATAAAAATGAAAGTGAGATTCAGAAAAAGCAATGCTTACAGGTGAATTTATAGCATTGAACATAGGTGTCAGAAGAGAAGAAAGATCTAACAGTAATCATCTAAGTTTCCACCTTTGGAAACTAGAGTGAAGATCGAATTAAGTGTAAAGGAAGAAGAAAATAAATACAATATTATGGCAGAAATCAATGAAGTTGAAAACAGAAAATAACAGATTAAAATCAGTAAAACCAAAAGGTGGTTATTTGGCAAGAACATTAAAATTGATAAACCTCTAGCAGTCTAACCATGAAATAAGAGAGAAGGCATAAATTACTAAAATCGGATATGAAAAAAAGGGTCATCACTAGTGATCTCGTGAACATTAAAAAAATAAAGCATTATCACAGCCCTAGCGTTTAGGCCCTGTCTATTAGATCTTTTAACTAAATTTGTTTCTTCTCATCTAGAGGCCATCAAGCTGCAAATGGTCCTGGATATGGAACCTGGAATGAGCATATCCTTCTACTGTGGACCCTTAGATAGATCTCTGGACCAGCCCTGACTGCCATTCCTTTGGACGCCCCTCCTCAGCATGAAACAGCCAGAGCGGTCGTCTCCCTTCACCCTAACAGCAGTTAGGGCTATGTGTTCAGAGGGTGGTTTGAGATTGAAAAGTTAGTAAATGTTAGGCAGAACAGGGCAGTCTATGGTAGGAACACATAGTTGGAGGTCACACCCACCCACGGAGCCCACCCCCCACCCTCTGGAGCCGGGAGTGGAGACGTGCCAACCA